AAGGCAGGTTGTTTCTTGCTTTGTTTTATGCATTATGTATACACACAGTAAGAAATGTGCAATTAGGAACCACATGTCCTTTTATCGTGGTGAGCCAGGAAAAGAGATAAACAGCCGTCCTCAGGTACACACAATGAAAGCTGCAATCCTGGGCATGTTTACTTGAGACAAAGCCCTTGTGTACACTGTGACGCTTACAGGTGGGTGAGAAAGTCTCAGAGAATCACACCACTGCTTAGAACCTTCTCCTTCCCATATAAATTGTCCATCAAAATACTTTACCAATGACATTTTATTCCCTCTAAACCTCTTGCGTATCAGTAAAATCACTTCACTGGTTAGTCCAGTGATGGCCAAAGTGAGGGCCTCCAGATGTTGTTGGACTGTAAGTCTCAGCATTTCTCTGCATTGGCCATGCTGATGGGAGTTGCAGTTGAACACATGCAGAGAATGGCACTTTGTCCATCTCTTCCAGAGTCCAACAGCTGGACAGTCACCAGTTCCTCACCTCTGGCCCAACAAAATGGAAATCCACCAAGCTAAAACTTGTTCACTTTGTTTACCTACCACCGATCCTGAAACTTTAATAATTGCAGTGAACCGATTGAAAGGAAACTCATTGGGTCCAGTCCTCCATCCCATCATCATAGCAACAGCTAGAGCATATCTGTAGCCCTTGAGGTACATGTATTTTTTTTTTACAAGTCAGTTTGCGTGTAGATCTGTGTGAGATGCCATATTGCTGCTTTATTTGGAAAAGCTCCACCAACTTCCTTTTCAAAATAACTAAATAAAACTAAACAAATGAAATAACTGCAGAACTGTGCACCACTTCAGAAGGATGCTTTAAACGACAAAATACCAGAGAAAGAAAAACAGAACAGAGGAAATTGCTTGATTCAAAATGAGATCCAGGGGCAGGGGAAGACATTTTTGCCTGGCACAGGGCAATTATCTCAGCTGTTGAAAGAATGGATACCCACAACTGAATGAGAACCACATTAGCATTTTCCAGACCTCAATCATTCCCTACCCTGATATATTGTAGTCCAACACATCTGCAAGGCCCCCCAGTTTGGGAAAGCCTTAGCAAAACAGTCAAGTAGGTCTTCAATAGGGAAGCATCTGGTTTTCAAGGAGCAAGCCCTTTGGTCCTCCTCATGAGGAGGAAACCAGCATACAGATAATAAGAAAAGGATTTCTGGAACAGCTGGACAGGAAGCCTAGCTGTTTGACTTCCTTTAATCCAGGACCTGCTTACAATATCAGTGTCTTGATACAAGTTGAAAATAAGATGAACTCCACAAACACTGCAACGTCAGTCTACCCAAACCAAACTGTGAAACAGTTACTTATGGAGGTCATTAATTCAAAGAATCTACCAGCCACACTCTGATCGCAACCGTCTTTATCTTAAACTTCTTTTAAAATTCATTCGAAATGGGAAGAGCTCATACCACAAAGGTGGGTTTAGATTCGCCCGAATCTGTCAGGACCTGCAATCCGTGCTGCACTTCCTGGCTGTTCTAATCCAATGTTTATGGTCCGTGAGTGAAGGACAAGGTGGTGACTGAGTGATGTACCAATGCAATTTACTCAGGGAAACAGGGTCACTTGATCTTGCCTGGGCTTTATGGATTTTCCATGCCTTAAGACCACACATGATGCTGATTAGGAGATTCAGATCTGTGGATGAGGTGGAATGGCAGTCTCATAACGAAAAGAATGTATGCTTTGACAGAGCATAGGGTTTTGGTTCTGCAAAGCTGAAACTGCCATTGTTTTGTTATGAAGTATTGTAAACGCAATATGAAGATTTCCAATGGGCGGCCTCCCAAGTTGAAAGGCAACTCCTTCCTTCAGTATTGGCTTTGGGATTTCCCTTTTTGCAGAAGCACCAGAGGATAAAGCAATGGGACCACTAACTTATGCACAGAGATTGGAAATGTCCATTTCAGTCTTACATACAAGTCCACTCATTCTGCCTGGCCTTATAAGCAGGTGGCAGGCAAAGTGTGGTCCTCCAAATAGTAGAGAACAGCTGCCACCATCCCTCACCACTGGGTATGCTGGATGAGAGCTGTAGCCCAAAAGTATTCAGGAGGCACTACACTTTGGCCACCTGTGCTTTATGAATTAGTGTTCTGCCCAAGTAGCACAAGCCAAAAAAATTAATCAGCTCACAAAAATGCCAGGATGGGTTACACCTATAGAAGCATTTGCTCACCCCAATCTTCTGAATTTTGAAAAATATTTGACCTATGCAGATATGCTAGATATAGATAGGAGATTACAAATGAAACAAGACCTTATAGATTAGACATATCGTATTGGCCCATAATGCAAATACAATCTACAGGGCTTGAAAAATGCACTTGTCCACTTGTCTGTGACAAGTGAAAAATGCTGCTGGACAAGTCACAGCTCCCTCCCTCCCTGCATCCCTCCCCTCCTCCTGTCTCTCTCTCTAATCCTGCAGTCCTCCCCTCCCCCTCCCATTGCAAAAGGAAAACTGCCCTCTTCTCCTGAGAAGAGAGTTCGCGTAGTACATAGAGATATAGCTCTGCAGGAGAATGTAGAGTAGTTCCATGCTGGAGAACATGGAGATTCCCTGCTCGCAATTTCAAGTGAACGAGGACACATCCTGGGGTGGGAGGGAAACATGGCTCCTTAAGAGGCTGGGCACTTTTGCTTTCAGTTTTTATTTTGCTGGAGCCATTCAAAAGAAAGTCATTCAAAATACAAGCTTCATGACACCACAATGGCAACATTTTATAAAGAGAATTTATACAATATTTTTTATAGATGGCATTTACCACCTGATAGATTAGCTAAAATGTACACTAATCAGTCAAGTAAATATTGGAAATATCATAAAAAAATAGAACTTATAATCACCTTTGGTGGACCTGTGATAAAGCAAAAATAATTTCGACAAAAATACATATATCACTTGTTAAAATAGTAAAAAATATGTAGATTTTAAGACAGAACTCTTTTTATTAAGTATAATACCAGAGAGCTTTGATAAACAAAATGTATACTTAACACTGCATACTTTAACAGCCGCAAGGAGTATATTCGCACAATATTGGAAGAATGAAGAAACACCTATAGATCAAGAAATAATTAAAAAGATATTGGACTGCAGAAATGGACAGACTGACACTGAAAATCAAAGGAAATAAAGATGCAGAATATTATCAAACATGGAACCTGTTTTATCAATGGTTAGTTACACGCTGTATAGATTAAGAGCTTAATATGTATTGTACAGTAGTTGTACAGTATCAACAAATTACTATAAGCTGAACCCAAGTGACACAATGTCAAATAAGCACGGATGGACTTTATACATATTAATAATAAAATATTTTTTTAAAAAAATCAGCTGCCAACTTTTGTGTCAGAGGGGCACAGTCTCATACAACTAAAACACAATGTCTAGAGCAGGGGTAGAACATATCACTTCCTGTTCTGGAATTACAATAACCATAATCCTCACCATAGCTAATTGCAAGGGATGATCATGACATTATGCAGGGGATGGATAAAGTGAATAAATTCCAGATGCAGGGGAGGGGTATTAGGAGACAGTTATCTATTTGTCTCGTGTGCTCCCAGTGGCATCTGGTGGGGCCACTGTGAGAGACAGGGAGCTGGACTAGATGGGTCCTTGGCCTGATCCAGCAGGGCTTTTCTTATGTTCTTATATGTTCCTATGTATTCCCAACCTAAGCTCCACAGAGGGAAATCTGGGGTGTGGTAGGGAAGCTTGTTCAGAAATCTAAGGGTGCATCAGTCAGGCTCCTTTGAACTGGGTTAGTCCAGGCTAAATAGGGTTGCTTGGGACTGAGTGGGCGTGCAATAAGTCATTTGGTGCAATCCTTACATCCAAGTGGCATAACAGAGCTCAAGCAACCCTATTTGGTATGGCTCCTTCCAACTGAATTTCCAATATGTAGTGACTTAATATGTGGCTTAAGGGAACAGTTTACAGATTCAGCTGCAGGCAGTTTCTTGACTGCAGTTTCTTTGAAGTCTGTTTGTTTTTGTAAGTGATACAGTGCACAAATGGCCTACTAGAGTCTAAATAAACTTTTCACTTCCCCTTGCAGAGGAAGTGTTCAATTTGCTGATGCTGTGAAGCGGCTTGCTTCTTAAGCCTCTTCACCATACAGTATCAGAAATTCAAAACAGAAGCAGCCTTAAAAGCAAGAAGGCTTGTTTCCTGTTGGTTCCCAGAGATCACCTGCACTGGAACTCAGCCAAACCAGAGCAATCCTATCCCGCACAAAAAAGTAAAAAAAAAAAAGAAGGGCTCAGTAAAGTGCGGTAGGCACGCTCTAGGGGCAATTTAGTTTCCTCCAGCAATTACCTGGTGTGATCTCCAGAAAAAGGCCAAACCAACCCATCCCCGCAGCGGACCCAACCTGGGCTAAATGAACCTCCAATTAGTCCCTAAGCCTCTTAACGACAGATAGCTTTTCCCTGATCCTAGAATCTGGTTCTCATGGAGGAGAATTTCTTCCTTCCTTCCTTCGTTCACGTACCTTAGTTTAAAGTATAGGTATGGGTCCTGCTGAACCACCGAAGAGTAGCCGGCGATGGGGGGGCGCTAAGCGATGGTAAGGGCAGACTCAAACTAAACAGAACGCTTCCTCTGGATATAAGGAGCAATCCTACACGCACTTACCTGAGAGGAAGATCCCGCGCACTCAATGGCACTTTCCTCTGAGTAAGTGCACTAATACGTTTTTAGTAGTTAAAGTGAGACAATATTTCACCTTTGCCTCTTTACTTTCCCCAAGAGGCCGAGACAGAATGACGGGGCTATTTCTTTGGCATTTGCTTCCGAGGAGGCCTGGCTACACTTGAGCCGCTAGAGCCCCGAAACCTTGCGTCTTCCAGAGCCCCCCCCCCTCGACCCGTCCTGAAACGTGCGGAGGGCTTTGGCTGAACTTCTCACCCTCCCCTCTCCGACGGGCGGGCGGGAGACCGGCCCGCCCTCTCGGCTCCCTCGCCTTCCTATAAGAGAGCGAGGCAATCGCGGCGGCCAGGTCGGGTCTCCTGTTTGCGAGGTTTCCTTACGCCCCGGGTATGGCAACCGAGGACTTGGCCGCGCCGCCCTCCCCGCGGAAAGGGGGACGCTGCCCCGCAGGTGAGCACGGCGGTAGCAGGCGAAAGGGGGAAGAGGGCGGCGGGCCGGTGCGGTGCAGGATGCTGCCTCCGTCGAGGGCGCCCAGTCTCGCCCGCAGAAAGAAGGAAAAAAAGGTCCCGTGCGCGTGCTTGCCACCGGCA